TGTATTACAAAAAGTTCATATAGTACAACATCTAACGAAATTAAAACAAAATGACAAAACTTGTATGTATTCGAATATCGAATAAATAAATCATTTTGAATATCGATGATAAACTATGTACTAATTTAGGTACATGTAACATTACAACTTGTAGATCAGTAGAAAAACTGGTTGCTTATCATCAGTTAATCCGTTTGATCGCTTGCCGTGTTTCCACATTAAAAAAATAAAATAATAATAATAGTCTCGCCTGGTCGTAGAGTCCTCTTTTTTCGATCTTAGGGAACTTCACCCTCTTTTCCCTCAATAACGATTGTTATAAGTCTGAATTGTAGCCAAGCAAAGCCCTTCATGAAACAAGAATAATATTACTAAAAATTATCAGCAACAAGGATCTCGTGTATCGTAAAATTGCCGCTTCTATTTCCATATGCTTAACCCTAAAAAATAAAATCACAACAAAGTGTTTGGACACGAAAAGGCTGAATTTCTCGCCTTTGTATAACATGGAGGTACAGTCTGACACACCAGTCGTAGGCTGTTTGATTATTTTTTAATTTTTTTTTTATTAATTCAGATTTTATTTTGGTAAAATTTAAAATTATTTTTGTTAAAAAGGATATAAGTCTATGTCACTTTTTGCTGTGAAACGTTAATTGTATTTTAAATATTGTTTTAGTATTTGATTTCGGACTAAGAAGATGTATTAGATTTGTATGAACGATAATAATAAATAATAGGGGAGCGTGTACCATTTTTGCATGTAGCGATGAATTATTTTACGATGAACGTTTTTTTATTATTTCTATTTTTTTATTCATTTGAAATGCGTAATTTTTATCTTCAGAACGCGGGCAAATTTTTTAACAGAAGCTAGTTATGTAAACTTACGACATTTAGTCCTAAGATTAACATGATAGAAAAATGGTAGAAAAAAACTTCATTAAAAATATTGCGCCTCAAATTTTAACTTCACTTTTCTATTTGACTGTACACAAACTCTACAGTCCCGGCAAGAAGTGATTAATTGCCGAGCCTAATGTACTTACCTATATATACATACAGTATATGTAAAGTGTAGGTTTGTATATACCATGAAAGTTAATTTATTCCTTTGCCGACTACCGCTTAGGGAATTGTTAGGTAAATTGAGTAAGATTTGTTATAAAATTACGTGTTTTGTGGTTCGACTAAGTTAAAGGTTTGATGCTACATAATAGACCTTCGTTCAATATTTTTAGGGGTGACATTGGCTTATTAGCACATTATATTGTGCGACATTCTTATGAGACAGCAAACGAGTCCCAATCTAGATCCACATGACATCATTAGTCCATCACTCCGGCTGAACATCAGCCCTATAGGATACAGACTGATGTTTTTTTTATCTTCTCAAATAATATCTTCTGATTTATTTCGTTGCGGTATCCAAGACAGTCATTCATGTCCCTGGGACGCGCCGGACTTCAGTGTTCCGGTGTTTTAATGGTTGTATCTACTGTAGATCCTGGCTTACAGGAGTTGCAGCGGCTTGGGACTTCGCGACGGTCATGTCCTAATAAAAAAAATCATCAGTCTATCCTACAGGGCTGATGTTCAGACGAGCCGGAGTTGCGGGCAAAGCGCAATAAGGCACTGCGGCCTCGGCCTATAGCAGGAGAAGGAACTGGGAGGTTTTTACTCAGTAAGAGTCCAACAATACCTCTCGCCCCACCTTGGGCGGGAAAGGTTATTTTATGATTTTCTCCTCACAAAAAAAATATCTTTACTAAGTTCACGGCTCTTCTCTCACGGTGAAAGTAAAAACATTAGTCTTCACGCTGGCTCAAGGCAGATAGGTGATTACAAGCGTATACATAGTAACTTTAGATTTCTTTACTATGTTATCCTTCAATGCTTGACTGTGGTGTCTAAATAGTCCTATTAGGACATATAACTCGGAAAAAGTCACATCGGTACCTACTTGCCGCAGGTTTCAATACCACAAAACCGGAATGCATAAGATGCGTCTTAATCTCCAGGTCACTAAGACTTATAACAAGATTAGTGCCATACGATTCCTGATTTCCTTAAACAAATTAATTTAATTTGTCATTTTTCTCATCAACAAAATCGTAAACCAAGACTTGTTGTATGTGTTAACCTCGAACAAACATTACAATATTAACTTTACAAAAAGACCTTATTCGACTAAGTACACGTGCGTTAATGGTGAAGGAGTTGTTGTCAAACGCCGACAGGTGGCGACACGGTCGCGGAGCTCGACACCTCCCATATTTATTATTAAACGGCGGCCCACCACATTACCTTTCCCAGCCAGAGAGCGAAATTTCATTTAAAACAAAGCATACGGTTCTGTGAAAATATTTTTTCACCAAACTTTACGTTAACTTCTGTTGTAAACAGGTGAAAAATCCTTGAATAAACGTATGGTTTAAAATTCGTTGTCGGATTAAAAATACACCAGCATAATAATATTTAGATTTTGTTTTGTGAGCCAGAACTAACAATCTTTACCAATTATGATAAAATGATTGCCAAAAAAACTGATATCGCGCTAAAACGCGAAATATGTTTGTTATAATTTCATGTAAATATTACACAAATTATCGAAATTAAATTTGATTCAAAGATAGGTTACAGTCCGGATAAATACATATAATAAGAATTATCATTACACATAAGTCTTTTTTGTTGTGAGGGAAAATCATCCAATGACTTCTCTCAACCAAGGTCAGGTGAACCGTTCCTTCTCCTGCTTTAAGCCTTGGCTGCAGTACATTATTACGTTTGACCCGCAACCACAGTATAAATTTATTTATACTGTGCCGCAACCCTGGATATTATCGTCTGGAATCCACACTTAACTCGCCTCTGTCTACCAATGAAAATATTGAACAAATGTCAACAGGAAACTTTAAGACGGTTCTTATTATAGTTACCAAAAAATCACTTTAAGATATACGCTTTCAAAATGAAACTCCGTATTTCTGACTTTGTCTGACCATTACAATTAATAATCATAATTTTATAGAGTAGGTTTCCAAATGCCCATTTACTAAATTTAACCCTTTCCAATCCTTAAAAAGGATCAACAAGTTAAAAAAAGTATTTGTTTTAAAAATTGCAGTGGACATTTAAATACGTTTTTTGAACGTTCAAAGATAAATTCAATATAATTAGTCAGCTGTCCATTGGGGTTGTTGTTGACAAAATTATTAATACGCTACGTAGGAGTTCCACGGGTTTAAAACGGGATGTTTTCAACCATGTACCTAGTTTAGCCAGACAGGGGGTCTATGTGTCTGGTAGGGGGAATGGACGTCGGTAACACGTCCATACCGTGTAGAGGGTGAATCAAGGTGATCCTGTGATCGTTTTTTGTTTATTTCTATGTATGTTTGACTGGGGTGGTTTTTTGGAACGAATTTTATTGAATAGATTGTGTAGTAATTTTTAAATTATATGCATATTTGTGTGAAATGTAACAATCAATAAAGAATTTTACTAAGGAAATATCTGTAAACGACAACATTTAAACAGTTTTAGAATAATTAATTAAATAGAAAAATGCACCTTCGCAACAATAGATTTTGATTTTATGTGATTCGATTTGTACTACAACATAACTATGATAGTGACTCAATGCAAATTTGATTTGCATACGTCCTTTGACAACAAACTGATATTATTGTTCACAAATCCATTTTGAAATTCAAAACTTTTGGGATTAAGACTTACTTTTTGAATTAACTACCAACCCTGTCAAAATCAGTAACTAATTTTGGATCGAGAACACAATCAAAGGGGACTGGTTATACCCCATCACCAAATAATACGCTCAAAGGAGATTTATTAAATAGAGTATTAATTTAGCTTCCCCATAGGTTGGGGCAAAACCTAACGATTTAATAAGCAGGTATCAAGTACTTAGGGGAAAATCCCATAGCTTGGTACCTCCGCTTTTGACGACTTTAAAAATGAATGAATTTTCCGTGTGAGAAGAGGCCTTTGCTATGCAATAAGCAGTAAGAGGCTAATGATGTGTAATATTTGATTTTATTTGAAATTGAACGTGTTTTTGGAATACTAGTCTTTATAATAATATAAGGCTGAAGAGTGGTGTAGGATACTTTACATAAACGCACTTGCTTCACGAGTTTCTAAGACAAATAGGTCTATAGGCGAATAGGCTTAATTACTTTTTAAAAACTTCCACCCACTATATAATACTACTCTTTGATCTTTGAATACTTTTCCATTTGACGCATTATAAACACGCCAACATAACAAACGTATCCAGTACTCAGCAATCACAGTAAATGTCAATTTTTAAAGTTTGAATAAAGTATTTACGGGTGATTCTTCAGATCAATTTAACAAAAAATAATGATGCCACTTGATGTCAATAAATTAATTGAACAAATGGTTACAAGTACTCGACTAAAAATATTGAATAATAAGTTAAGCTAATATGCTTACAACCCGGGAGAATAATGATTTGTTAAACAACAGTTAATGTTTTTCGGAGAATAACCCTTACAGTGGAAAAAAGCAACGTGGTATGACATGAAGTAAAAATAAATTAAAAAGGAGACATTAAATAAATAATGATCCTTTATGACTATGATTACAGAAGCACGCTTCGACTCGTAAGATGAATCGTTAAAATGAAATTGAAAATAAATTTGCTAAATCCTAGCATCCATCTTTGAAGGCTTATCTGCAAGATAAGCACCTAGCGGTGCTTATCTTGCAGATAAGCCAATATAGCATATTGGCAGAAGAGAATTGAATCTATTGGTTGAAGTTAATTTGTACAAGCCAAAATCGACTTCAAATTATAAAGTTATAATGTCTAAAATGTTACAGCTGAGTGATCACTAAATCCAATTACTATATCAGAAAACTGTCTTCAAATTATTACCAGATATTTTTATGTGAAATGTGTGTCGGTCACAAATGAACTTTAAGTGTGGGAGAGCCTTGCTTCGGCACAAATGGGTCGGCTCGACCGGAGTGATACCACGGCCTCACAGAAAACCAACAAGTGCTTCACCGTGTGGGTGAGGTTGCTGGAGGCCCAATTCTTCCCCTCCCCCATCCTCAAGCCTAAAATCCCCTATCCTTAAATCCCTAATAACCTACAAGAGGCCGGCAACGCACTTGTCTTGAATCCGTTTGCTCTTTTGTCGACTTACGACATAAAAATAGAACAGACGAATTACCTGATCGCAAGTAAATGGAGCCACCTACTTAACACTTCAAGAATTACAAGTAAGTATTTTTTATTTTTTTAAGGAGAAAAGGATGACTATAATTTGAATGAATCCAAGCTGGCTGGAACGAGAGCAAATGATAGACTTTAAATGATTAAAACACGTAATGTAGAGGTAGTCAGTATACATATACATAAATAAATAAATAAATTAGGTAAGAATTTTTTTGACATTAAATCAAAGTTAATTTCACTTCACTACTAAAAGTTTACTAAACGAAGCACGTCATCCTTAATTCCTTATACTCGCAGTTGGTTAAAATAGTCGGCTAAATGTCGTCGCGTGATTGTGTGAAGGTTAGTACAATGTTGCGATTCGCTTCTCGCGTGTCTAAGCAACTTTGATTCTAATATAGTCAGTGATTCTAATCCGGACGAGCCGACAACATAGTTTTAAGCCTGCTATGGTATCAGGCATAGTTTCGTATGTGTACATAAATACATATAATTAAATTGAGGAAGAAAATATATTCAAAAACCTACGGGGAAAGAAGACTATACCTTTTTCCTAAACGTTGAAGATCTTTCTTTTTTTTTCACAAATACTGTACTAGTTTTTACTCGCGGCTTCTCTTCCGTAATTTGCCCCTAGCTAGTTACCTACCCACACTACCTACCCTCCCCTATTCTATGTTCTTCTTCAGGTCCTAAACCACATTCCCACCAATTCTCAACGAAATCGGTTCAGCCGTTCTTGATCAATAAATAGAATAACTAACGCGACTTTCTTTTGTATACATATATGCATATTCAATTTCATAATGAAAAAGTATATAAAGAGAAAAGTTCAGCGATGATTGTTGAAAGTTCAGTGGTGATTAAATACACTTTAAAACTAGTTCTGTCGAATTTTAAAAGCGAAAATACCTTTTATAATTTATCTGAATCAGACACAAAACTACTTCAATCTCATCGATAATGCCCACTGCTGAGTTGAAGAGAAGAACAGAAAAGACACCACACCCGGTCAAGGCGGGTTGACGAAATCGAAACGTATGATTAGAAATTATAAGTCCAGGTTTCCTCACGGTATTTTTTTGCCATTTCTTCGTATACTAAAAATATAATTCGGCTAAATCGAGCCACATTCATAAATTTCTAGGTTTCTGACCCTCATTCACAAATCGCCTTAGCCTCGAGCCAGCAGGACATTTTCAAACTCCTTACTTGCAGTTTATTATCGACGACACTATAACCCAGAAGATAATATAGATCTGAAAAAGTTTCTTAAAGTCTTACGGGGAGGTTTGGGGAGGTGTTGGGCTGAAGTCCAAAAAATGGAAACTGTTTGATCAAAATAAAAAAAAAATATCTCGCAACGAATAAGGGCGTATCTTTTCTTAAGAATAGGCGCCTAGGAAGAACGCCCGCGCCTCAAACGCGCATGCGCTTTACAAACAATTGTATTCAGCAATCGCTTTAGGTCAAGAAGATAGAAGAACAAAGAACTATGATCTTGAATAGATTCTTCCGTGTAGCAGGAATTCGCAATTATACCTGGTCTTTTCGACTCAAAAGACCAATACACAAAAAACTTTCATTTGGTTTTTGAAAACCTTCAGTAAAGATTTAACTGGTCATAGATATTTGAGTAGAATGACCCAGGAATCGAGGTTGCATGTGCTTAAAAACACACCCTTATGCACTTGTACTTCAAAAGCCTTTAAAGAGAAAAACCAACATAAAATCGCGTCGTGAAGTACTCAGTTATCGCCCACACGAATTCATAGAAAAAGAAAAACCTTACATGTTACCAATGAAGTTATCTACTCTACATACCTTTGAATACAATGTCTTTGAGCTGCCATGATGATCCAAGATCTTCTTAAATACGTAGACCGCCTGATAAGCCTAAACTGTTTAAAGGCCCCACCCACTACAAGCAACGATTTACAGTAAACACGTGTTGTCGGCGCGAGAGCTTGCAACAGAATAGCCCACTGTCGATCAATCGAGGAGCTACCCGCTCTCAGCTTGCCCGGGATTCAGCCCTCGAACAAAGAACACAACCCATCAAACAAATATATACCTTAGTAACACAGCAATACGGCAAAATATTCCACGTGTAAACCAGACAGGTTTGCTGCATGGAAACAAGGATCTAAGCTCTGACTATAGGGATGAAAATGCATTGCATTGCAATTTTGTTGTTTGATTTTCAGTTCGTTCCTATCTAGACGGGTTTTATCAATATTAATTAGTCCGTATATAGCTGGAGGGGGGATGCAGACAGATATGTACGGTACACCCCCTTTAAGCCCCCATTTAGGGGGGTATGGGGGTGTAATTGAAATGGGAACCGGATTGGTGTCTATCGTATTTTTATTTTATTTTTGTGTGAAATTTTCCAGTGTTTGTTAAGGATTTAATTTGTTTAAAGATTGCTATGAACTTGTTATTATTGATTCTGAAATTTGATATAGGACTCAAGTTAGTAAAGTGGTGGCTGTATTATTGGTTCAGTATTATTTTGTAACTTACCTATGGTGAAGTATGGAATCATATGTTTGATTTGGAAGTAACAGATTGATGTGTGGAACAAAGGTGTATAAATAATGGATAAAAAGTATTATTTCCTCTTTATAATATTTTTAGGGTGAACATCTAGTAAAAGTCAAAGTTAAAATCATTTATTCCAACTAAACCATAAACAGTACTTTTGAAACGTCAAAATAGAATAGTAGTCTGTCAGTCTGTTCGTCAGTGAAGTTCCAAAGTGCACATTCGGGCGGAGAAGAAGAAACTAAAACTTACAACGTTACTCTTTTTAAAAATAGGCGGTAAACAAGCTAACAAATACATTATTTAGTACACATACTATTGTACCCATATACGCCAAGCGACTCCTTCCTCACTTGGCAGGGCCAAACGCCTCCTGCCGGATGTTTTATATGGGGATCATGCGACCCATGGCCCTCTACTGGGCCTCTATGTGGGCGCCGGACTTGAGGCGGCGGCCAGCTCGTACGCTGGTCGCGTCCCAGAAGGTTATGGCTATTTGCGGATATCGCACAATGAACCTCCTTGCGGGATCACCGCCATGGGATCTGCAAGCGAAGGCGCTCGCGCGCGTCTACAGTTTGCGCGCAGACGCTCGTCCTTGGGGCGAGGATCCTCGGAAGCGCCGATTCAGTGCGTGGCGGAATGAGCTCCGGCGAGAAAGTTAATTTGGACACCACTGACACACGATAAAAGAAAACATCGTGAAAAAACCTGGACTCATAATTACTAATTATCACTTTAAAAATTATTTTGGACCAGCTTGGCGATTATTGCTCATTTCTTATCTGTGTGAGAAGACGCTTTTGCTCTACAATGGCAAACAATGAGTCGAATAAAAAAAATACAATGAATGAATATGGTGCTCCGGTCCAGTATTATAATAATGTAACTAATACCTCTTTTGTATAACACAAATAAATGCAGAAAAAAACTCAATGGCACACTGACATTTAAAAAAAAATATGCGTGTCGATACCGACTTGTCAGTTTGCGAATTTTAAATAATTGGTTTTATATTTATAATAAAGTGTTTACTGGTGTTTATTTAAATCATATTTTTTACTTGATGGCTACAGGTAATGCTATAATAATAAATTATGAGAGAATTATGTGTAGGTATCATTGTAACCAAGAGATGTAGGCTAACCAGCTGATCTAGAACTCACTAAGGGAGGCTACTTTTCATTTGTACTTCTTATTTCTCCTGACTGCTACTTAGAATTTTAGTACTTAAACTAATAATAAAATACATGTACTACATGAAATGTTAGCATTTAACTATAGGCATGGACATTTTAGAACCTCTTAATGTACCAATTCATTGTTCTTGCTTTCCTTAACCATAACTCATGACGTGATGTTTGTAACAAAATGATAGTAAATGTGCCAAAATTTTCCAAAACTAAAAGACAAAGTACAGCAAACCCCCATAAAGTATGTAGGTGATTACAACAAACACTTATCAAAAAGGCTAAGTGCAGGTTTTTCTCAGCACCACTACAGTCTTACGACCCATCATTCGCGCTCAATAAACATAAACACGACACTAAACATAAACAACCAAGTGTGTATAAAACCAGGCCCTCATTATCTGCTATAAAATTAGCCTCCCTTGCCCAGCCAAGCGAGGTCACCACGCAGGCAATAAACCGAATAATTTCCCTTTTAATATTGAACCAACTCTTTTATCCACAGAATGGCAACCCTCCGTCAAAGAAATCAATGGTATAAACTTAGCTAATTACTTCCCTCATCAACGTTCATACAATTCTGTCGTGTATATACACAAGAAATATTTAGACGAACAAAAAGCTCCAGCTGTGAAAAAGGAAAAGTTGAAAACGATAAAAGAAGGGAAATCTAAACATGATAAATGTCACCAGGTTAATAGCGAGAAGAATACTGAAATCTCTGACAATAATAGAACTTATAAAATCTGTGGTAATAATAATGATTCTGTTCTAGAACATACTATAAGATTTGCTAAGAATCTTGTGCCTTTAGTTATACCTCAAAGTGATGAAAATCTGCCAGTATTTTATACAATAAAAACTTCAAAAAAACCTAAGAAAAGAGATAAGAAACCACAAGAATGTTTTAAACATCAAGAACAAACGTACGAAAAGGATGAGCCTAAAAAAGTTATCGAAACTTACAGAAAGGTTAGGAAAGAAAGTTTTAGTGTCAGGGAGTCTATTAGTTCGAGCAACACTTTGGATGATTTAAACATCAATCAATCTTTAACATGCACTTTATCTGAAGTATCTGAAAAGAAATTTCATAAAAAAGAACCACACCCTAATAAAAAAACACACAAAGCACCAAAAATTGCTGTATCTGAATCATTTGAGGCCCTAGCGACGGAAAATCAAGGCGATTCGAAGATTAAAATACACTTGATGAATGAAAAAGACAAGAATCTCCTAACGGAGAGTCTTAAAATGCCAATACTGTCTGCCATTAAAGAATGTATCTCCGAACTAAGTAACAGTCAGAACAATAATGATATAAGTGCACTACAAAAGATATTGAAATGTAATACGAGCAAGCTAGATACCATTTTAGAGAAAATAGCAAGCATTGAAAAGAGACTAGACGTTTGCTCCTTAGAAAAGAAGATAAGTCACACAGACAAGAAGATATCCTCCACAGTGCTGACTCCTTCATCGAAACCATCAGCACTAGAGCAGTTGGAAGAAGATCTGCTAGAAGTAAAAGAAGATTATAGTTCAGAAGAGGAATTGCATCAGGAAATGTTAGATAGAAGAAGTAAGAGTGCAGTAACAGAGTTGACTAGTGAAGAAAAGTCTGTAAGAAAAGGAGTTAATTTGGGGGCTGGTGAGGTAGGTTTTAAAGAACCCTCTACAGTTGGTATCAAACCGAGTCATCCAAACAGAATTCCAGCTAGATTCTGTTGGACGGATGCCGCACGAAAGTGATACAAGTTGATTGTTAGTATTCTTATTGTTTATGAAACTTGTACTGTTATGTAGTTTTATTAAAAAGTTTTATTGAAATTGCAAGTCTTTCTTGAGTACCCGTACTGGTTTGTGACTGGTACCTTCTTTATTGGTAATGGTTTTTTATTATAAATGTGACAGCTGTGATCTAAGCTATACTTTTTCGGAATTGTAGGAAATAAATTGTGAAGAAAATTGAAATTGTTCGTAATAGAAATAATGAACTGCATGTAACATTACTGAATAGGGCACTGTCTTCTTTATGTTATAGTTTAACTGGTATACCCGATATTGTTTTCATTGGTATTATCATTCACCTACCTTTCTCCATTATTTGAATGTGCAGAATTTAAGGTCGAGTTTAATAGCTCCACTATTAAAGTGCACCAAAGTTCTATAATTTTCATGATTAAAGGCTGACATTTGGCAAACAAATCTACTGCCGATGGATTAGATTGTGTTCTTCACGAGCTGCTACTAAATACCAATTGGTTTCCAAAAAATACCAATTTTCTGGACTCCATCGAAATCGAAACTTCCAATTCGAACTGCGTCCAACAAGGCGAATTAACTTTTAATCAGATCCAGCAAAATAAACGAACTTCCTCAATCAACTAGCAAATTAATCGTCACTAATCGATATAAATCGGTACTGTTCAAAACATCCGTATTGTCATCGCGTGCTTTGTGCTTCTAAATCATCCCCAATCGATATTGTTATTCGAGTGACGATTCGCAACTATTCGAGCTATGAATCGATTCAGCTCACTGAATCTCGAACGTTAGGTTGCAATAGAATAAATACATTTCATACATGATCGAACTCCTGTTTGAACGATGCTATCCATTTAGCGTTCACTTCAGAACAATGTCTATATTTTCTTTTCCTTTTCTTTGTTCTTTGTTTTACCTTTTATTTCGTTTGTTGTTTGTGTTAAACTACGGCTTAGTTCCTGCAGATTTTCAGTTTTAAGTTTGTTTAGAAAATTCGGGTTCCGAATTTTATAGTTGTAGAGAGCAGCTTTGCAATGTGGAGTTTTATATAAGTTATATATGTCCATTCTGATTGTGTAGCACTAGAGCAACGAAGTAATCAACATAACGAGAAAATGCTGTGAGAGCTCACAGCTGCTTCGAGGCAAATGGGCCGCCTCGACCGGAGTGATACCACGGCCTCACAGAAAACAGCCGTAAAACTATACTTGGGTTGTGTTACGCGATCAGAGTTAGGTTACCAGAGAATCAAATCCCTTCACCTCCTTAATTCGCCCAATCCTTACAATCCTTAACCACAAACTGCCAACAACGCATTTGGATTTGGTGATTGGGCGACGCTAATTGCTTACTATAAGGTGATCCATCTACTTATTAGCTGCCCATTAAAAAAGTACTTACTGCCAAGAATATACCGAAACCTGTACTAAATTCTTCAAATTTCATATAGGTATATTGTTATTATTACCGTCAACCCCTGTTTCTCCGCCTTCATATTAATATTTTATTATATATAAGTACCAAAAAAACTTATGTGGCACACATTGATATTACGCCCTACTTATATTAAAAGTTATGTGGTAAATAGTGGCTATCAAGACATTGTGAAACAGACCAAATATGGGAATGTGTAAAATCCTGAAGATAAAAAAAATCTTATCTTCCCTACTACTTATTCTGGACTAAAATTAAGAGTCAACATAGCAGCTCAAAATGTTGACAAAAAGCTCCAAAAGACTCCATGAATCAAAATGAAACATCAACGCTCCATCTAATTACATCGTAAGCAAAAACGATCTTGCTGAACTTCATAAATAAATTACTTTGCACTCTCAACTGAGGACGGAGTTCTTCTTGGTCATAATTTATGAATTTCTCGTAAAAAGTTGAAAAAAGGAAAGCAACTTCGGATGAAGATATCGCTGCTACATGGTTTACGATCACAATGATAACAATTTAATTGAGGATGCAATCTAAACAAAAGTAAATTATTTTAAATAAATAAGTCTATAAGAATATTTGAAACTAGCTACCTATTCTCGCGCGGTTTCACCCGCTCCTCGGCTCCATTTAATCGTAGCGTAATGTTTTATAGCCTATGGCACTTAGGATTGTAGCTAAAGATTACCCCCTACATACAAACTTACAAATTTTACCTCTTTAAAATATTATTAGTATAGATTGACTGCATGGTTGGTGTAGTGCCTGGGCAGCTGGCTGCTGTGGAACGTGTCGCGGCGGGTTCATTTCCCGCACGGAACAACACTGTGTGTGATCCAAAAATCAAATTATCGTTTTGGGTCTGGGTGGTTTGTATATGTGAATTTCATTTTTGTAAACGCACCTACGACGCAGGTTAAAATCCTAGTATAGGACTACGTTTTTTTTAAAGAATGTATAACAGAATTTCACTCATTCATTGGTTCAGTTTTGTGCGTACGTTAGTCTTAGTCTTGTGGTAAAAATTTGTATAAAATAATTTGTATTTCCATAAAAACGTTATTAAATACGACTCATTGCACTCATTCATATCATATAATCATTCATAATAGTCTACTCTTTAATAGAGGATGGGACCATGATACCAGAAACAAAAGATATTGAGTGACGCGTTGTCGAGTTCTCGAATGTTGATTAAAATGTTCGAATGATTGAGTGAAAGTGAATAGTTCAATTTTTATTGTGCCATGCGACCGATTTGCAATTTCTAGACGAACATCGACATTTGACTTAAAGAAGACTGATATATAAGGTCGTCTACTAATAAAAGACCACCTCTTATATAACATCTGCAAACAAAAACAGACTTTACACGTACACTCTAAAAGCCTAGTTCCCATTGCCAACAGACCAGACAATCACAGCATTTGCCTAAAACCCTTTCCATTAGCAAGGTTGAGTTAATGTATCTACAGGAAGTGCGTGACTCGCGGTTTGCTGATTCTAAACACCCTGTAGATGCGAAAATTCTGTTCTTAGCTGTCAGTTCGTAGCGACAGGATGATCGAAGGCTCGCTAATGTAGTTCTGAGTGGTGAACGGTGAATGGTGAATGATGAGCGGTGAATGGTGTATGAGAACTAAATAAGATTTATTCTGTAATTAATCTGAGAGACGTGATTGCTTGTTTCGTTCGTGAACTCTGATTAGGTTTGCTGTGGAATGAAATAAGATTTGTTTGCAATTTATCTGGGAGGTATATCAATCGGTTTTTCTTCAAGTTAGGCATAATTATTTAGCTTGCTTTGTTTTTAATATTTCATCAGCATTATTTGTATGTGGGTTTGTATGTTAGTGTATCCATCCACGACAAAGAACAAAGTATGCATGAGGTCTGCAGGAGGACTGTTAAATAAAATCGCTAGCGCACCAGCCAGGACATGGAAGAGGAGGGGAATGGAATAGGGGAGGGGGTTTTCAGTCAGTAAGAGTCTGAAACTTCCTCTCACCCCCCTCAGGACAAGAGAAGTATTGATTTAGATCTAAAAAAAGATACCTTGAATGATGTTTGTGACACTGATAACTAACACGTGAGATAACAATCTCCGGAATCATTTACGTAGTTTCATTATTAGTATTGGCTATGCAAAATATGATATATAATCGACCTCTTATGTATATACCTAATATACTTGTGCACCTTACATATCAATTTCAGTGAAATCGTTTTGGCCGTTTCCGAGATCACATGCTTTTTCAAGCAATCAACGCGATCTGCCGCGCTTATCTTTGAATCTAAACTATCTAGGACGCCACTCAAACGCACAGAGAAAAATTAATTTAAATCGATCAAGCCGTTTATCATCATTCATTCATGTCATTTTATGATATTTTACCCCTCAAAATACCGTATCTTTAAGTAAAAACTATATAATATACTCAAACTACGCTTACAATCAAACGCTTCACATAAAACGAAGAACTATTTTTAGTCTTTTATTTAAATAGTTACTCTCAAGAGACTGAATAGGTGTCGGTCTAGGAAAGTTTTACAATAGTATGCAGTTTCAGTGATAGTGACTCTTAGATTGTAAGACTCTTAGGGCAATCGTTACTTAACTCTCAGCTGTAAAGAACTTCAGTGGTTCAGTTTAAGTGTGGGAGAGCCATGCTTTGGCACGAACGGCTCGACCAGAATGATACCACGGCCTCACAGAAAACCGGCGTGAAACAACTACAGCGTTATGTTTCGCCGTGTGAGTGAGGTTACCGAAGGCCCAATCCTTCCCCTCCTCCAACCCAATCCCTAAATCTCCAAAACCCTAATTCCTAAAAGGTCGGCAACGCACTCGTAACTCCTCCGTTGCGGGTGTCCATGGGCGGCGCTGATTGCTTACCATCAGGTAATCCGTCAGCTCGTTTGCCGACCTATTACATAAAATAAAAAAAAGTTACAATTACACTCATGAATTAATGAGGTCTGAATAAAAATAAATGAAAAAGAATTCATCTAAAGATTAACATCAGTGGTCACTGCTCAGAAAAGGCTTCTCATACAAAGAAGGTTTAAGCAAGGCGATTTCGAACTTATCATTACAAATCAGTTTCTTCACATTTTTTTCCCTTTACAGTATATCAATGGTATCTTAGGTAATCTTAAAAAATGCATATGACTCGGAAAAAGAATTTGATTATATTCAACATTGATGAGACCTTCCCAGTTTTTTGTTACGCACATCAGATTGTTAAAAAGTGAGCGCCCCTACGACGTACGCTTCAGATGCATACATAATAATAATTATACACAATGTTTATTTTATTCGAGTTTATCGTTCCTACATATTCAAAGTTAACTCACATTTTAAAATGAGGAACAAAGTTTGCAGATTAAATCGCATTCCATTTTAACTTTTTTCATTTCCTCGTGTTCGCTACTGTTTCAGTGGCTTTATGTTTCAAATCCTTGTTTCTGTATATATCACGCCATTTGTATAAAACATTTAATAACTTAATATGTTTTTATTAATGAAAAGCTGAACATTTTTTTAATTTGAATTGTCATCTAACTGAATTAGTGCTAAAACGGTAATGGTGTTATCAAATAATTATAATATCGAAATTTGTATCTACCATAGTTAGATTTTTGGGGGTTTAGTATTTTCTTTCATTGTCATAATTAAAATTATTTCCAGAAGGAATTGAGTTAATGTAAGAATAAGGAAAGGAATTTGTGTAAAACGAATTATTGAGTACACAAGGAAAATATGTTTCGTACAAGGTTCGACGTCAAGTATCAGACCGTGCGTACGGCCCGTAGCGTTCCGCGCGCGCTTCAAACAGCCAATAGACCACCACAGACGGGATCCTACAGGGCTGATGTTTAGCCGGGGTTGCGGGGTAAGCGAATTGAGGCACCGCGGCTTCGGCCCAGAGCAGGAGAAGGAACGGGGGATTTTTAGTCAGTAAGAGTCTGCCACATCCTCCTCTCCCGCAAAAAAAGGTTTGATGTGAATAAATTACAAAGCGTGTATTTTTTTTTAACTTTAACTGATATTATCCTATAACTAATAAAAAAACTATTATCTGGTAAACAAATTGTGCACTTCTGTAACTTTTTAAATGAGTAAGATAATTATACTTGCTTAATTATCACATTCTCTGTGACAGAACATTAACACTAAAACACAGCCTTTATTTCGTGGAAAGAAAATCACCAAGTAACTTTTTCTCCCTGGGTTGGACAAGTAAAGGTCTCAGATCCTGACTGACTAAAGACTACCCCGTTCCTGCTAATACTCTGAGCTGGGATCGCGACATATTATTCTACATGCACCCACAGCCTCTTTACTCAAAAACATTTCAAATTCAGAACATAAAAACAATTTCGAACGGTAAAATCATAATAGTGCATCTCTGGCAGCCATGTTGGGCATAGAGCCAAAATCTATCAAATCGGCCGTAAGGTTTTAATAGGTCAAGTATAAAAACTGATAAAGCTGGTCAAACGAGCATGCAAACCTCATTTTAAATATGGTTTAGCGATTAATTACTATAATATAACTATTAACCCCGGTAGGTTGGAAGTGGGGGAGGATTTTAATAGATACTAGAACATTTTCCAAATATGTATTCAATTCAATTCAATTCAATATATTTATTGCATTTTCATCCTCCTTCTGCTCCTATCCACCGTACGAGCCCAATTAACCCCATTTTACGGTAAATTTTACTAAAATAGATACAGCTAGCGGGTTTATCAACGTTATTGGGAAAAGGCCCCGTGTGTTCTTGCCAGATTTCGAATCCACGTCATCGCCATCACCATGACTGCTATAAATTGAGGAAACTCAGAGCAACATACATATCATCATCATCATCATCATCATCATCATCATCATCATCATCATCATCAGCCTATGAGTGTCCACTGCTGAGCAAAGGCCTCTTCTCATACGGAGAAGGTTAGAGCATTAATCACCACGCCTGCTGAATGCGGGTTGGCGATTTCAAACTTAGAATAGGAAACATATAAGTCCAGGTTTCCTCACAATGTTTACCTTCACCGTATGTCAGTGGTGTCTAAATAATCAAAGAAAGTACATATAAATCGGAAAAAGTCACATTGGTACTTGCCAGGTTTCGAACCTACACCCTCATACATATATATTATGATAATGGGCACCAAAAAGCGGTCATATCTTGGTTCTTATCTTTAATAATAGTATAGTAGTTCTTAGTTTTAATAATAGTTCAAAGTTTGGCCTGTATTAGCTTCTCCTATACCTACCTCTCGTTTATATATATTTTGTAGTTTTATATAATAATCTCGCAAAAACATGCGTATTAAAAAATAATAAATAAAACATGCTAAGAAAAAAAATACTACCTTCATCATTTTTTTAATACCTTTAGTATTCAAAATCGGTTCCTGAATCAAAAAAGTAAAAATCTTAAAAGCAAAAATGTTAGAAAAAATACCTTCCTTACCTAAATTTTATTATATTTATAAAAGCGTAAAATGTCAAATGTATTTGAGTAGTGTAAGATTTTGTAAGTAGTGTAAAGCGAATACAAAAAAAGATGTAGATAGAAGCAAAAAAAAAAAATTAATAGAAAAAATATATAGAAATGATTTCAATTAGTTCAAAATGTGGGGGACGGCTTTCAGAAATGTGTGCTTGGCCAGTAACCACACAATTTAAATTACGAACTCCTTTTCGACACCCGTTATACTGTACAAAAGTTTTGGTCGTATTCCGTTTCAAGTTTATTTTAAACAAGTTGTAGAACTATTGCTATGTAACTGTCAATGGAGTGTGACAATTCGATTTGCACGATTATATTCTAAGGGCCTGTTTTAGCTTCGACAATACTTATATAGTTATGTGGCGCATAGTTTAAACAAATTACTTTCTATATTCAAATTTGGTATGGCCAACTCTCCAGACACGTGATGTTTTTTTTTTAGTGTCATTATAGTACTTTTTTATATCCAGATCAAGACCAATAATAAAAGTTACAAGTCACCTAGTAGTAAGCGGTCAAACAGATTTGATGATGTAGATTGAATGAGGGCTACCATTTTTGTGTTCTCCAGATAAAGTTAATGCAGCTAAAGATCTTAATTATTCAATTAACCCTAATTATTCCAAAAACTGGCACCAATCAATTCTCTATTTTATGTTTCTAGTGAGCATAAAAACAGTAGCTCTCATAACGCTATCATTTCAAAGAAGTCGTCCTGATCATTATGGTACCCATCGTCCACCCACATTTGAACAGTGCAATGAAAAAAGAAGAAAGAAGTGCTGTATTAGGCAATCACTCACCAAGGTCTGAGCAGCAGTCTGGTGCTGAAAAACAGGCTTCAGTCAGTTAAGCCAGTTATGGAAGACATAAAAATAAAGCAGTGACAAGAACAGGTTTTTAAAGACAGAAGTCAGCAGTAGAATTGTCTTCGTTCAAACTGCGAACAGGTTGGTTATCCCTGACCGCTTTGTAATCTGTAATATGTTTAAGTTTTTGCCCGCGACGTGTTTGTAAATAAGTAATGTTTAGAGTCAGCCTGTATGTGTTGTCTATCTGTTTGTTGAATGAAATGTTTTGAGTCGTGATAGGCTTTGGTGTAGCAACTTAAAAACTATAAGAATTATTATTGTGCTATTTTCTTTTATCAATCTAAAAAATAAAGTTGGCTTAACTTGCCCCGGCTTTGCACGGGTGCAACGCTGATACTAAATTTCTCCGCCATTTAATAGATGTTATTATACATATAAAACTTCTTCTTCAATCACTCTATCTGTCAAAAAACGGCATCACGTAATATTAAAGAATTAGGCATACATAGGGATATAGGGACAGAGAAAGCGACTTTGTTTTATACTATATGTAGTGATGAAGTTTTAGTTTTAATTTGCAACACAAGCACACCTACTAACATTGCATATTATAAAGTTATTTTTCAAAGACCCCTTTTAACATAAATATATTTTTCAGTGTGATAAATTGTTAGGAAAACGTAGTCTACGTGAGCTGATTCTACTGAAAAGTCTTTATTTACTTCAAAACTTTTAACAACATTTTAAAATAATTCAATCGTAATTTTGCTTTATTAAACACAAAAAGGAATGTAATTAAGGTCTAGTCACATACATATCAGAAATAAAAACGAATATAAAAATAAATATATCGAAAGCAAAAAACAAAAATGCGACTATCAACTGTTACAAGACTTCAAAAACACCGATATGTGATTGCTTATTTACTGTTTTCGATCAGAATCTGTCAGGTGCAGCGATGGCGAGCGGACCGGATAGCGAGCAGTTTGCCGAACGATAGTTCATTTTTTTAGAGAAGTTTATTTTCCAACTAAGTTGTATTATTACTATTGTCGAAATCTCAAAAACTATCTTTTTACGAATTACGTATGTTTTCATTTTTTGTTGTATCTTGGATGTGTTTACAAACATACAAATTCACACACAGACTCGAAACTCTTTGTGTGATTCACAAATAATAGTTGTTCCGTGGGGGAATCGAACTCGCAACACGCTGCACAGCAGCCAGTTGCCCGGCCACTGCGATCAATTATGGATCACTGTGACTTTTTTTTTACGTCAAAGAACACAATTCTTTCATTATTCAATTTATTAACTAAATAATATCAATATTATTCTAAATTTGAATTTAAAAATGTAATTTTATTCATTTTAGATATAAGTAGATATTTTATTGGTTCTAAGAGTGGTGTGAATGTTTTACAGTGACTATAATAATTGGTAGAAAAAATCAGCAGCTTATTAGATGTAGCTTGATAGCGTGGCTTATGATTTGCTGTCTTAGTTACGCATGTATTATCTTTATACACACAGTGAATTACTTCAAATTGTTATATATTGTAAACTAACTTCCACCTGCGGATTCGCACGCGTATAAAAGCAATGTATCCCGGAATATAAATCGTTCAAAGTAATAGCTCGACTAAAATACACAAACCGAGTATAGTTTATAGGAACATCGTAGCTATCTATAAGTGAAAGAATTTTGGAAATCCGAAAAATTTTATGGTATAAGTCGGCAAACGAGCAGACGGATTGCCTGATGGTAAGCAATCGGCGCCGCCCATGGACACCCGCAACACCAAAGAAGTTACGAGTGCGTTGCCTTTTAGGGATGTGGGTTGCGCATATAAGGATTGGGAAGGGGAGGGATTGGGCCTCCGGTAACCTCACTCACATGGCAAAACACAACGCTGTGGGTTGTTTCACGCCGGTATTCTTTGAGGCCGTGGTATCACTCCGATCGAGCCGATCCATTCGTGCCGAAGCTTGGCTCTCGCACACCTAAATATGAATGTAGATATGCCTATCTTAAAACCTCGTCCCAACTTAACTAACACCTGAATCAGGTCAGAATATGGACATACATATTTACCTAAACCAAACACTTCGAACTCCGTTTCAGGTCAGAACTGTCGAACTCAAAAATAGGAGGTCGAGTTCGAACCAAACATCAGGTTCGTATAAACTCGATATGAACAAACAGCATCAAGTATTCGGACGATTGTCAACCCGTATCGTGGTTCGTGAGATAAATTGTCCGACCTGGCATGTAGCCAGGGTTACTGCGCGTTAGAAAAGGGTCTAGCTTGGTATAGTTTTTTTTCTATGTTGTTTTAGTTAGAATATCTTACAGTAAAAACTGGTTCGTGGTGGTCAAGAAGTTTGTGTCTCATCTCTAGTATCTACAGTCAGTGTAAGCCAGTCAGTCAGTCATTTAATGTAAGTCTAGCTACTACATTCAGCGTAGGGAAACTCAAGGTTCGTTGTCCTAATTTGTTCCATAATTTTTAATACTTGCAATGCTTAGATGACTGCACGGTTGGCGCGGTAGCTGGGCAACTGGCTGCTGTGCAACGTGTTGCGGGTTCGGTTCCCGCACGGAACAACACTTTATGTGATCCACAAATTGTTGTTCCGGGTCTGGGTGTGTTGTGTATGTGAAATTGTATGTTTGTAACTGTTTGTAAACGCACCTACAAGACAGGAGAAAATCCTAAAGTGGGGCAAAGTTTTGGTTAAGAAACGTTTTTTTTAGATACCATTAAGAGTTGAACTGTAATAAAATTAACGACGCTTTGAGTAAACCTATCTACTTTATTCTACTTCTTCGTCCTCTAGTCTCCCTTAACGATTTCCTGAAATCTAAGCCGACTATTGATTTGTTTGCAGATGGATGGCAGAAAATTGTATTGGAGTGCATTAGGTATTGCGAGAGGAACTCATGAATGTTGTAAATTTTTGTTGTTAATGTAATTGGAATTAATCATTCATTACACTTATCATTCATTACATTCATTACATGTGATGTAATTGGATCTAATCATCAAGACACGTAAATAAGTGTTTAAATCATTGGTTTAACCGATATTTTGTTGTTTTGGTTCTATTATTTATGATTATTATTCAGTATCCTTAATGTCCCTACATATTTGACGCTGATCAAAAATTGTGCATTTTAATATTGGAATTGTATTTTTTTGTGATTACCTACAACAGTTACTAAATACAATATTTCAAATATTGTAATAACTGTTATAATAATTTTGCAGTAAGTATTTGTTGAATGGCTAATAATGTGTCTTAAATACAGGTAGTATGTACCAATTCGTTGCAAAGAAATGAAACGATCCGACAACTGAATTGGGTCCATAATTTCGAATTCTTTGACTCTTAATAAAATGTTCTCATTTAAAAAAAGATCGTTACTGTTGATTCCTGACAATACTTCGTGTTATGAAGACTGCAAGAAAAGGCGTAGTGCTAGAACTTAGGACCCTATTTCAGCAGTCTATTTTTCACCACTATTCTTTGGTAATTGTTTAATTAGTTAATGAATCAATGTAAGAAAACTAACAATAAAGAAAATGCTCACGTTTTCCACACGACGACGTCCTTAAAGC